CAACAACAGCTGAGACGGGCAGAAAGCACGTGGCCTTGTGACTTCTGACCCAGGCCCGTAAGGCTGACATCTTCCTCTTTCGGCACCCCTCCACCCCCACTGGCAGGGTGGCCTGAGGACTCGTCTATCCTGGGGCCTCTACTGACATGTTGGGTTACTCTAATAACACAAATAGAAGCTACCTTTTGGGGAGCAAAGATTGAACCCGGCATGCTGCAATCAGTATATCATTGAGTCTTGATCCCAAACTTGTGAGATATGGTTAACTTCACCCTATTTCACAGGTGCAGAGACTGAGGCTCAGAGACAGTGAAGTGACTTCCCAAGAACGCTCAGCCAGCTGTTGGGGAAAGCAAGATTCTCTCCAGGTTTTCTAATTTGAAAACCTAAGCCTACCTCCTTCCCAGCATGCTGTTATTCGTGCTGCTTGGCTAAGTAGAGAGGTGACCCTGGACCCTCTTGGTGGAGGAAATGTATTACAGAAGCATCCTGGAAACATAATTGGCCGGTTTAAAATTTTTTCTAACTCCTCATGTTTGGAGACTCATTCACATATTTACTACAGCCTTCTATGTTCCCCTCAGTTGAAATGCACCTCCTTCTCTTATACACCAAGAAAGCATTTTAAAAAATGTGTACCCTTGTCCAAATAAGTGCTCTTTATATGGCCTTTGTTAAAATTTGCAACTTACAAGCCATGATTCTCATGCATCACTCTATGTAATCCTTGAGACAGCCATGCACTGTCTCTACAATTAGCCCCATCTTGTTGATGTAGAAACTGAAATTCAGAAATGCGATGTGATATGCTCAAGTTCATTCATTTACTCAAATATTTAAAGTGCCTATCATATGCTTAGTACTGTGTTAAGTGCCAGGGACATAGCTGTACCCAAGCTTCAGGCTAGGGTTTGGGTTCTGCCTTTGCCACTTCCTAGATGTCGTGTGGGTAGTAAGTGCTTACACAGTGCTACCCAATACTCTCCTTACCTCCCTCCTTTGCCACTTACTAATTCTCACATCCTGGAGTTTGACTATGATCTTGCCTCCGACCCTTCTTCCTGGTCATAACTCACCTCGTATAGCACTTACATTTCACATTCATCCACGCTGACCTGTGAAATGGACAGCAGCCTCCCTACCACAGATGCTTGATGCGGAGAGGTGAAATAAGCACAGAGGGGTAAAGTGACTAGTCCAAGGTCACAGAGCCAGGGAATAGAATGGAAAGTGAACGCAAGCCTGGCCATCTCCAAGACCAGACTTCTTCCTCTGTCACCTACTGCTTCCCTTGACTGAGACAATACTGGATGTAGTAAGTGCTAGAACTGAGCTCCACTCACAGTGCTGAGATACGACAGGTGGAGAGAGATAATCCCCACTTCGCAATGCTGTTGTTCTCACGCCAAAGGCTGAACCCAAAAGGTCCAGAAAGCAGATGAACAGATTGGCTTGCATCTGAACATGGGGCCAAAATGTTCCATATTTAGGCCTCTTAGTCACATCTATTAGGTTTAGACCCACACTTGTTTACCCTTGCCAGCACTCCAGGCCAGCTGATGAAAGATAAAAGGTGAAATGAGATTTGACAAGATAGTATAGTACAATGTAGTTAAGAATATAATCTTCGGATTTAGACAGACCTAAGTTCTGGTGCCCCACTGCTACTTACTTAATATGTAATAATAGGTCAATTACTTGACCTCCTTGGAACCAACATCCTTACTGATAAAATGCAAACAGTCATGGTACCTGACTCATACATTATGAAGATTAACTGGAATAGTGCATACAAAGGACCCAACACCGATGAGCACTTATTAGATGGCAGCCGTACCTATCATTACATTTAGGAAGTGGGCTAGTTTTCCTGCACTTGGACTGACAGTTCTTCAGGGAGGGACTTGGTTCTTTTGTTTCACATTTGGGGAGACTTAGGATCAGAGAGGATAATCAACCAGCCCAAGGTCATACAGCTTGTGAACCTCAGAGCCAAGGTTTGAATGGATGCTGATTGACTGCAAGGCTCCTTCTGCTTCTTGGGCTCTGGGTGACCTGTTCCCTGCTTGACCCCTCACCCCAGTTCCCTTTGCAGCATATTGGTGGGACAGCTCAGTGCTTACATTCCTGCAGTGCTAGGAGGTGTCTCCATGGGTCTGTCATGGACCTAGTGGCAGTGACCCATAGCAGCAAAGAATGTGGAGCACATATGGTTATGAGGCTTGCTGCCAGCCTGGCTCGTGGTGTCAGAAACACAGACCTGGCATGACTGACTGATGAATTCCGATGTGCGCCCAGAACACCAGCTTCCTAGTAAAGGCAGGATGGTGCTAAGGTACTGTCTGAGTTACAACAAAACTCAGAATCAATATCAAGGAATAAGCTAAAAACACATTCTTGGGATGGCATGAGTGCCTCTTACAGTTCTTCAAAAGAGAAACTGAGTTATTCTTAAAAAGGAGACTTTCACACAAAAAAGACAAATGGTAGTTTCTCCAGAAAGATACTGGCTTCTGCTTACTGTGCCCCTTGTACCAAGAAGTTCTGATTTATAGCGCCTTTTATAAAAACAGCCTTTGGACTATCATGTCATGAGGTATTAAAGCTGAGAGGCCCTCTGAGATTTCCAGGTTCAGACCCTCTGAGCTAGTAGTGGTGGAGCTGGAGCAGAAAAATGGCAGCTGAGAGTTCAGAGTATGGGTTTTAGAGTGAGACAAACCAGGATACAGCTCTTGGTTTTCTCATTGTCTAACTGTGATTTTGGACAAATTGCCTAATTTTTTGATCTTCAGTTTCCTCTTCTGAAAGATGGAGATAATGAGAGTGATTATTATAGGAGGTTTTCATAAGATTAGAAAAACATGTGAAATGGCACTGTTTCAACATAGTTGGAGTTTGGCAAGTGTACCTAATGGATTTGTATTTGTACAGAGGTGATATCCACAGGCATTCAGTCAGAGGATAGTAGCTGATAGTGGCTAAATGCATGGGCTTTGGAGTCAGACACACCTAGACTTAACTGCCAGTCTCAGTAATTACTGTGTGGTTCTGGGCAGGCTGCTTTCCCTCTCTGAGCCCCATATGTAAAATAGAGAGAGTAATAGTAGTTATCTTTTAGGATCATCTGGGGGAATTAACAGCAATAATGCAGATAAAACTGCATAGGTCCCTGCTTGACACATATTAAGGACTCAGCACAAATTAATTAATTTGGACAACCAGCTCATATTTATTAACTACCTAATATGTGCAGTCAATCAGGGTTCATCATTCCACAACTTGCAGTCACAGTGTTATGCCCATTTTATAACATGAGGTAAGTTGAGGTTTGGGGGAAGGGGGAGAGGAAATAGGGCCCCTGGGACTGTAGTTTCTTCTACCTGACCCAGAAAACCCTATTCTCACTCACTCCACACTACTGCTCTACCCTTGAACGCTGGTGAAAGAGGGTGGCATGACAAGGACAGGATGCTGAGATGCTTAGCCCTTCTCCCTTCTATTCAGATTGTCGCTGGCCTCCAAGGATTACCTCTTCTTGAAAGTCTACTCACTCCTTTGACTTTGTTTAAACTTCAGAACTTGGAGATCCTGGAGGCGTGAAGGGTCAGAGAGCCTTCTCAAAGTAGGCCAGACAACCGTGTCTACTCTAGAAAGAATTCTGTGCCCTGGATTGGACCTGAATCCGCCAGGTCTGCAGTTTACCAGTTCTCTCCGTCGAATACCACACAGCCTGCCTACTGCCCCCAGTACGGCATGGAGCTGCAGGCAACAACGCTGAAAGCTGGGGACATGCCTTGTACCTAGAATAACTCCCAGACTCTATCATGGCCCACAGGGTCCCCACCCACCCATCTTCCCACTCATCTCTCTTTGCTACAGCCGCACTAACCGTCTACTCCTCCAACAGTCTGGATCCTTCTCGCCTCAGGACCTTTGCACTTAACTGCTTTTCCTGCCTGGAATGCTTTTCCTCCCATAAGCTAGTTCCTTCTCATTTTCATGTCTCAGATCAAACTTCTCAACAAGAAGGCCTTTGTGGACACACCTGTCTAAAGCAGCCACATCCCCCTTCACTTTAATCTATTATCATTCACCATTATCTATTTTTTTGCTTACTTTTTGTTTAGCTTTATGCAAGCAGGGACCTTAACTCTCTTGCACATCTTTATAATCTTAGCACCTAAAATAATTCCTGGCACACAGTTAATGCTCAACTAAAACTTGTTAAATGAATGAATGAAAGAATATATAAATGAGTATATAAAGCCATACAAGATAGCATCGGGGTTTACTTCTCAAGTCCTGGATTCAGACTGCTCTGCCCCCCAGTACCTGTGAGACCATGGAAAGATACACAACTAAGTCTCAGTTTTCTCCTTGGTGAAATGCAGGTGATAATAATCCCTGCCTTCTAGGTTTGCTACTTGTAAATTAAGAGATTATGTGCAAAATGCCCAGCAAGGCAGTTGGTGTTCAATACATGCTTAATAATTATCTATTTTTTCTTTCCAAATCATTTTCCTGCAGCCTAAGCATCCCTGAGTTCTTTTTTTTTTTTTTTTTTTTTAATTTTGCTTGTGGCCTTTTTTCAAGTTTGTTTATTTATTTATTTATCTTTGGCTGTGTTGGGTCCTCGTTTCTGTGCGAGGGCTTTCTCTAGTTGCGGCGAGCGGGGGCCACTCTTCATCGCGGCGCGCGGGCCTCTCACTATCGCGGCCTCTCTTGTTGCGGAGCACAGGCTCCAGACGCGCAGGCTCAGCAGTTGTGGCTCACGGGGCCTAGGTGCTCCGCGGCATGTGGGATCCTCCCAGACCAGGGTACGAACCCGTGTCCCCTGCATCGGCAGGCGGACTCTCAACCACTGCGCCACCAGGGAAGCCCCTCATCCCTGAGCTCTTTCAACTATTATTCCTGTGCTATGATTTTGTGTTCCTCTTTGGAACTTCCAGGGCCTTTTCTGAAGTCACAGCCTTGTGCTCTGTTTTCTTGTTGTGCTACAGGTTCACTCTCTATGCGGTGGATACACGAGGGAGGCACTCAGAGCTCAGCACAGTGACCCTGAGGACCGCCTGTCCGCTGGTAGATGACAATAAAGCAGAAGGTAGGTGACCCATTTCTTCACTTCCGAGGTAACTCCCACATTTTCGCTCTCTAAATTCTGCACCCAACAGTCACTAACCACCACTGCTTTCCTGCCTCACACACATATTGGCACAGGGAGAAGAAAGCCAAGGGACTAAGGAGGAGCATGGAGATAAATTAATCAAAGCCATGAAGGAAATTGAGGCTGACCAGCAGTATCTTTGCCAGTAGAAAGACTTGCTCCTCTTTTATAGAATCTGTGTTCTGACTTAGAGGCAAGGAATGGTGGAGAGTCAGAACCCCATGACTGTGTTCTGCCCCTTGGCCTAGGCTTTTAGGGACCAATCCCTTTCTTCCACTTCAGGCTACGCTACAGCTGGCAAATCGGTGGCACCTAGAGGACCACTTGGCTTTGCTGCACTCGTGGCAGATATCATTAGCCGATCACAGCACACCTTCCCATCTAGCGCAGGGGTGGCCTCAGAATCCTCAGCGTAGAGCTAGAGTCAGTAACTATCAGTCAGAATTAGCATGCAAGATGAAACCTTTTCTGCTATTCCTTGTCCATGAAGTTGTAAACATTAGGCAAAACACCTGTCAAAAAAATATGGAACCAATAAATCAGATCTACCATATACTTAGTTCTTAGACAATGTGTAGATACAGTTTCTACAAAAACATGATGGTAGCTCATGAGACCTGGTGGTCCACTTCAAGTTGCGCAGATATTTTCTAAGAACCCTGGTACAAGCAATGCAGAAGAGACATGCTCTTCATCTTTCAGGAGTTCACGTTCTAGGGGGAGAGAGAGAGAGACATTTCTTCAAATGGCTCAGTCATAAGCTTGATGACAGATGTTTGTGTGCTACCTACCAGACAAGAGGAGATGGTGAGATACCGAGTCTCAAAAGGGAGGGAATTTGAGATGGTTTCCTGAATTTTTTTAAGTATTTTTATTTTAAAATAACACACGAACATGGTTTTAGAAAATAACAGGGGACACGGGTCCGTGCCCCGGTCTGGGAAGATCCCACATGCCATGGAGCAGCTAGGCCCGTGAGCCATGGCCGCTGAGCCTGCACATCCAGAGCCTGTGCTCCACAACAGGAGAGGCCACAACAGGGAGAGGCCCACGTACCACTAAAAAAATTAAAAAAATAAGAACAATAAAGATCAGAGTAGAAAACTTTACAAAGTAAATGCTCCTTCCATCCTGAACCCAAGTCCCCCAGACTGTCCTGAAAGCAATTGCCGTTAGCAGTGATGTGGGAACATACATAAATTTTGTTCCAAGTCTTCAAAGATGAAAGAATGTGCCTCCTATTCAAGAGAGCAGCCCGTAATGAATTTTAGTTACATCAATTAGTAGGAATGACTGAAAGAGTAGAAATTGCCATGGATGACAAACAGAAGAGTCTAGATTTTCTCTGAAAGATTTTTGAATGGAGAGCTGTTAGACCTGATCACAGAAATGTGTCGGGAGTATTGCAGAGAGGAGATAGAAGTTGGCTGTTGAGATGAGCCCAAGACAGTTTATTTAAGCCTCTGCACTTGTTTGGAATTTTCTGTTAAATCACAGGCACAAAACTTATGTTAGTGAGTGCGATTATAAGCACTAATTTTGTGCCAGACCCTGTGTTGAGTGCTTTACATGCACGTTTTAATTTAGTCCTCCCAATGCCTCTCCAGACTATATGTCGTTATCTCCGGTTGATAGATAGGACAACTGAACACAGCTGGTCAGTGACATATTCAGGATGGAATTAAGGTTTGTCTGTCCCCAAAGACCACACTAGTGAACTCCTGCATGAATATGCCTCCCTAGTTGCAAGGGATGCTCTCGTCGTCCCTTTTTCCTACTTTCCAGTGATCTGTGCCTGCAATTCTTCCTCCCCAGAGATAGCTGACAAGATCTACAATCTGTACAATGGGTACACAAGTGGGAAGGAGCAGCAGACTGCCTACAACACACTGATGGACGTCTCCGCCTCCATGCTGTTTCGAGTCCAGCACCACTACAACTCTCACTATGAGAAGTTCGGTGACTTTGTCTGGAGGAGTGAGGATGAGCTGGGGCCCAGGTACGTGGGCATATGAGCACGAGTGGGGTGGTAAATTCTTCTTGCTTCCATTTGACTTTACTGGAGCCTTTCTTCCATAGGCTGGGAATGGGCTTTATAAAATAAGTAAGAGTGGCAGCCACCCCGGTCATGTCAGGGTTCGAGAGGGGAAGTGGGTAGGGAGAATGAAAGAATCTTGGAATTTTAGCTACTTAGACTCCTGGAATGTCAGATCAGAGACCTCAGTGTTCTTTCAGTCAGTCCCTCCCCTTATTCACCTTCCACTTACAGTTTTAGAGATGGGAAGCGTAGCTTCCTTGAGGGGATGTGTCCTAACCAACATCATAGAAGAGCATGGTGACAGGGTCATGGCCCCTAATCTAGGGCTTTTCCTACTCTTCCATAAGAAATCCGAGGTTTGTTTGTTTGTTTGTTTTTTCTGGAATAAAGTCCATTGGTAACCAAGACTAAATACATTCATAAATTCAACATGTATTAAGCCACAATTTTTTTGTCACCAGCAGTGACTATGCCAACCACTGTGATAGTTGCCATGGAGGATTCCACCATAACTAACACACAGTCACTATCTTCTGAAGCTTCACAAAGTAGTATCTGAAACAGTGGCTGCATTTCATGCCTTGCACCCAACAGTGACATCCATCCATTCATTCGACACAAACTTAGTAGCCCCTCTTTTAGGTCGGTAGTTGATAATGCAATGTTACAAATGTAGAAACAGTCCCTACCTACGCATAGCTTTACCGTTGCAGGTAATTAAACAAGCAGTTGCAAAGAATAGGAATAATAAGGGTCAAAAGAATAGACGAAAGGGGCCCTTTGGGGAGGCAAGGCATAGACACTCGGTCTAGGTAACCCAGTGAAGCCCCCATACGGGCTGAGACTCTGAGGCCTAAAGGGTGAGTTGGGGTCAGACCAGTGGAGGGAGAGGAGGGTTGGAGGGTTTAGGGCCCAGGGAGTAGTCTGTGAAATGTTCAGAGGAGATAATACTACATAGGCAGGGGATTTCCTCTTAAATTTTGGTCATTTGCCTGCCACCTTTATGATTTTTGTCATATCGCCGTACCATATGCAGTTCATTTATTTTCTATTTCTTCCTTAGGTCCACTTATTGAAAATACATTTGAAACGAAAACACTGTATCATTTTGTAAAGGGAAAACTAGCACCATCTACCCTTAATAAAGATTAAACTTAAGCATTCGGTACAATGGAAGAAAAACAAAGCCAGAAAACAGTGTAGTTCAAGCCTAACTGAGCCTGAGGCTTTCCCTTTAAAAAGGGAGATTAGCAAGTGTTAGAGAGGAACTTAAGACACAGTCCTGAACTAAAACTCTCTTTCTTAAAGTAATCTGGAGGAGGGGAAGAGAGTGACAATGGGAATCGAAATGCTTTTCCTCAGTGTGATTCACTGTTGTTTAATACTGGATCTGTGATCTTCCTGAGTACCACCTAAAATCCTTTCTCCTGCCCCAGGGGAACTCCATCTACACTTTGGTAAACACTGTGTGGAGGAACTGAAAGAATTTCTGTGTAGCCGGAGCCAAGTGTGTGACAGCAGGAGTGGGAAGAGATAAGAAGGGAGAGGTCAGCAAGGGCCAGTTCCGAATGCCCTGTAAGTAGGGTTAAAGAGTTTGGATTATCTCTCTAGGGTAATGGGAAGCTTTTCAAGTGTTTTTCACAGGGGGGAGATGTTATCAGATCTTCAAGGGATAAAGATCCCTCTGACTGCAGTTAGAAGCCTGGACTAGAGGTGTCTAGACCAGAAGGAGGCAGTGAGGCCATAGAGGCTGTTGTAACACTAATCCAGGAGAGATGGTGCCAGTGCCCTGGGACAGGCTAGTGTCTGTGGCACTCAAGAGGATTGTGTGACTTCCTGAAATACTTAGTAGGGCAGCGTGTTATGCCTTAAATAGCTTTAAAATTACCCTGTAAACTAGGCAAAGTAGGGTATCCTCCCCATTTTATGAATGAAAAGGAATTGGAGGCCCCGCAGGGTTAAATGAGCTGCCCAGAGTTTGCTATGGAGTCCGGTTCTGCCCCGAGCTTTCACCCTGAGCCCTTACAACACTTGCAGTAAACCCCAAGAATTCAAGGCTTGGTTGAGGGATAAAAAGGATCTTTCCCTGGGGCGGGCCTTATCTGTTTTGCTGGGTCCTGGATTGTAACTTTCTCCCTTTCACATGAAAGAAATGTTCTTTAGATAAAAGCTAAAAGAGAGCCGACAGACAGAAGCACAGAGCCCCAGATGAATGCTTCTGCCTGAGTCATCTCGGCTGCCATCTTGCCTGGGGGCAGGCAAAGGCATTCTACTTTATTGGGCTTTCCCACAGGGTTCAGGGATTTTAGGTGGAAGCTAAACCAGAGCTTCACTCCTGACTTTGTCTTTATCATCTTCTGGGGTCCTTCCAGGACATAAATCTTCTGGAAAGCCTTTCTGGTCGCCCACAGAGGCAGCACAACCCACTCAGTAATGGACCCGTTCACCTCCGGCCAGCTGGTCACCAGCCACTAGATGCCAACACCCACTGTGCAACCCAGCTCCCTCCTTCTTTGGTCTTTCTAGTCTCTTGAGGGAATCTGAGATTTCTCTGGTGTCCCACACTGGCATCAGCAGGAATCAAGGCAGCTGCATCCTAATCCATCCTGGCACTGCTAATAAACTCACTGTGCAGCCTTGGCCTGTGGCCCTCTCTGGCACTCAAACTCTTTATAAAATTGTTGCAGGAAGGGGGTCCCTTTCCAGAGCCCGAGAATGGGCTCTTGTGTAACACTCAGAAATGAATTGTCCGAGGAGACACATGTGCTGGCAAAGCAAGAGACTTTATTGAAAAGGGGCACCTGGTCAGAGAGCAGCAGGGTAAGGGAACCCAGGAGAACTGCTCTGCCACGTGGCTTGCAGTCTCAGGTTTTATGGTAATGGGGTTAGTTTATGAGTTGTCTCTGGACAATCATTCTCACTCAGGGTCCTTCCTGGTGGCACTCGAGCATCGCTCAGCCAAGATGGATTCCAGCGACAAGGATTCTGGGAGGTTTGTAGGACATATGAACTGGCTTCTCCTCTCTCCTTTTCACCTTTCCCGAATTCTTCCGGTTGGTGGTAGCTTGTTAGTTCTGAGTTCCTTACCAGGACCTCCTGTTGTAAGATAATTCATGCAAGTGGTTACTATAGGGCTTGGCCAGGGCGGTGGTTTTGGTCAGTGGTTCCCCTAACAAAACGATAGTAGTACTTTTTTTTTTTTTTTTTTTTTATTAGCAGTGAAAGAGCTGCTTTCTAAATAAAGCTTGCAAAGAACCCCAGGTCTTAGCAAGAAGTCACCTCCTCAGAGAATCCTCTAAAATTTCTACCCAGTCACTTTATCACACCCTCGTGTTTTAATTTTCTGTGTCGTATCTACTAGTTTTAGCATCCTGTATTGCTTATGTGTTTACTTCTGAGTTATCTATAAGATATTATCCCCACTACAATGTCAGTTTATGTATAGCTAGTGATCCTTTATGTCCCATTCACTCTTGTAAGTAGGTGCTAAACGATTACTTATTGAATAATTGGATAATGGGATGAGTAGATGTGTGAACCAGATGACAACAGAGCTGTTCTGGTAGAAGCTAGAGCGGGTGGCCTGGAGCCCCCCTGCTGGGTCTCCACTTCAACTTCCCCCCTCCAGTCCCACCCAAGGGTCCCTGAGGTCTACCTGAGCTATCAAGGATCTATATGGATCACAATCGGAAACAACTGAATTCTGCAAACTCTAAGGTTTCTCTAGCTTAAAAATAACATTCTAAAAAAAAAAAAAAAAAAAAAAAACATTGTCCTTGCAAATATTAAGAGACGTGAGGAAATCCTCACTTATTAATTTACGGGTTCATCGATTCGTTTAATGTGCTTACTGTGTGCCAGACCCTGTGCTGTGGGTTGGAAACAGATGAGTGAAGAAGACAGCTCCTGTTGAGATGGCCCAACATCTAGTGAGAAAAAGACTGGTCAGCAGGCAGATGCAGCGAAATATGTCACAAGAAGCACAGTATAAGGAGGGTGAGCAGTGTGCTTTAGAGCGACGTTTATCAAACTTCAGTGCACCGGCGAATCACTCAGGGGCCCAGTTAAAATTCAGATCAACTCCGTGTTCTAGGATAGGCCTGAGAGTCTGCATTTCTGACAGGCTCTTCAGTGATGCCAATGTGGCTTGTTAAAAAGCACCCTTTGAGTGACACGGTTCTGGATGCGGCTGTTGGTGCAGCTAATCCAGACCTGGAGCTCAAGGAAGAATTCCTGGAGAAGAAAGTGAAGTGTATGCTCAGAAGTAAAGGCTGAACAGGAGTCCTCCAGGTGGAAGGGGAGGAGTGCTCTCATTAGGAGGAGCAACCAGTGCAAGGGTGAGAGAGGGTGGGGTAAGAGAATATACCTTGGTCAGGAAGGATAAGTCTCCGGGGGGCAGAGAGTTCAAGGTGAGAAGGAAAAGGGAAAAAAACAAGGCTGAAGCGTTCAGCAGATGTCAGATCATAATGGCTCTGACGAGCCCTGTTCATGAGTTGTTCTTTCTTCCAAAAGCTGGGTAAAGGTTTGAGACAGAGGATCACTGTGGGCAAACGTACCATGCTTCTTAAGGGTTAGCAAGTATGCAGAACATCAAAGTGTAAAGGAGAGAGAGCGAGACTCTGCCTTGAGTTCATGTCCTAGCTTTGCCACCCACTTGCTGTGTAACCTTGGACAAATTTCATCTCCATTCTGGGCCTCATTTGCAACATGAAAGAACTGGACTCCAAAGTCCCTTCCAGCTGCGAAGCCAAGGAACCAGCAAGCCCTGAAGGTCATAGAGACCAGAGAAGAGGCACACCATGAGTGTCCTTTCACCTCTAGCCCAGCATGGCTTGTTTCTCAGGAACCTAGGATGGCTAGGATAATAAGAGCTTTTCCCAGGAGCACTCTGAGGTCTGGTATCATGGGATGAGCTCTATTAGGATTTTGTTGGCCTATAATCACCAAACCCCAAAATGTTC